TTCAGTCAACAAAAATTTTATTATACTTTTCTCTGTATTTTTTCAAATTTATTACAATGAGTGTGGATTTCATAATCAGAAATAAATTCATATGTTTAAGAAACCAAAAAGCAGTGATAAAGCAGCTGGATCATGTTTATACTGTTACAGTTTCAAATAACCATGTGGACTCAGGGATGTGTGAACAAATTATCAATTTACCTAATTTATTTGATTTCGACATTCTGTACCTTTCACATCCTCTTGGAATCTTTTGAACATTCTTGTTAATTATTAGAATGAGTTAAATAGAACAGAATTTGCAATAGGCTTTTATTTGGGATATTTATTGATGTTTGCTGTCTTTTTTACTGCATGTTATCAATGTAGAATTTTAAATCAGTTTCATTACTATTTTATCTGTCATTGGTATCATTATTTCAGTGTTTGCTCTATACTAGTATGTATGTTACTCAAGAAATTAAAAATATTTGTATAAATAGGAATAGTATTTGTTTCAAAAAGTGTTTCAAATGCTTCAGTTACTCACGGCATCATTTGTTCTTTTAAACAGATTTTAATCCCCTTTGTTCTTGTTATGTGTGCTTTTGAAGCTGTTCAGTTAACTACTCAGTTATCATCAAAAAGGTAAGATGAATTAGTTTAAGAAGCATTGGATTTGTACATTTTTAGGAAATGAAAGTAAACATTTAAAGATATTTTATGTGATTGCTATAATATTAAGATATTCTAACATAGATAGTTTATTATAAAAATGAGAATTATTTCACCCTTTTAGTCAGAATTCAGTTTTCATTAGAGGAAATTATTTGATTAGGGCTCCTACCAAACATGCTTTCTTAACAATAAGATATTATTAGAATATTATTCAAGGCCAGATATGGTGGCTCATGCCTGTGATCTTAGCACTTTGGGAGGCTGAGGCAGGAGGCTGGCTTTAGCCCAGGAGTTTGAGACCAGCCTAGCAATAGCAAGACCCCATCTCTACAAAAAATAAAAAAATTAGTCAAGTGTGGTGGTACACACTTGTCATCTCAGCTACTTGGGAGGCTGAGGCAGGAGGATTGCTTCAGCCTGGGAGTTGGAGGCTGTAGAGAGGTATGATGACACCACTGCACTCTAGCCCAGGCAACAGAACGAGATCTTGTCTCAAAAAAAAAAAAAAGTTATTCAAGCTAGTGAAGAGCCTCCTTTGAAAACAGTAAAACATAAATGTTAAATTACTATAGTTAATTTCATATTTGTTATGGATACAAATATGCCTACAAAAAACAGAGGATGTCATTCTAACTTTTTTTTTGGCTTATTTCTTAAATATGTATTACACAAATCTGTTAACATTATTTCATTTTACATGGCTTAAAATTAACTTTTCTAAATGTCAATAATTTACACAGTTTCTCAGTCTTGTTGTCTACACATTTGACAAATAGAGTGGGAAGTATTCTTTCTGAGTTTTGAGGAATTTCTGGAGCAGTCAGTCTTAAGCAATCAAGACTATGGAAGAGAAGCTGTCAACTCAACTATTTGCTTTTTTTAACCAATAAAATGGCCTCATCAGCATAGAGACTCTGAAAAACACTTGATATAAATATGAAGCTTCTTAGCAGTTTTGTTATTCTTGAATCTAGCTGGCATATTCAATGCTGAAAGAAATAACTAATATTAGCATGAATTTGCATGTTGTTCTTGATGAGTTTAAGCTAGAACTGGGTTTGGCATATTATGCATATGCCATAATAAAAAAATTTTTCTGCTGCTGCTCAAGAATAGTAGAAATCTCATTTCTAGTTTTGTTTAGTATATTTTTGCAAGATATTTACATGAATTTAATAATGAGAACATTTATGCCTTGTCTATATCACATAAAAGATGGTTACTTAGATGCTATGAAACACTGGTGAATGACAAGTACTTTCCTACATCTTTGTTAGTGGATAATCTTTTTAGAAGGGATTTTAATTAAGGTTTAAATAAGAACTGGGAACATGTGGAATGAGAATAGAAGGCTCATCAAAGTGTGTGTGTGTGTATATATATCCCTATATTTGTACGTGTGTGTATAGTAATTCAATCTTGAAACTAGTGCAATGAAAAACTAAATATAACAGTAGAGAACTGAGGCAAAGGTGACAAAATTGAGGCTTTATAAAAATCTCTTTTGACTTTTAAAACCTTGCATGTTACACTGACTCTTTAAATTTAATCTGTCACACATTGAACCCAGTGATTTCTTTTCCTCCTATTGAAAACTAGCTTCTCATCCTGTTTTCTTTATTTAATCTATCATACAAGCCAAAGTCTATCCATTCCTCACTACCAGATCCACTGGTCAAATATTACTGGTATCATCTCTTCTTTCTGCCCACATTTTTACAGCCTCATTATTTAGGTTACTAAACATTTTCTTACAAGTCTTAAAAGCCTAAGAGTTAAGATAGGGGAGGGGATTATGCTAATGCTTGTTTATTAGGTCCATAATGCCAAGGATAAGTTGAATATAACAACCAGTGAGAGGATTCTAACTGCTTTTCTTCCAACTCATTAAAATATGTAGTGAACAAAAGTGAAGTAGAAAAGCTATGTTAGCATTATTTTATTTTACACGACTTAAACTTTTCTAAATATCAATAATTTATCTAGTTTTTAAGTCTTAATAATGGATTCATCAACAAAACCTTGTGTATTTTGGGTAGAAGCTATTAAAAGGAAGTATCTGGGCATGAAGATTTTCTGATGGTTGTTCTGTTAAGAATGCTTTTGGTATAAGCAATGAAAATCTAACTAACAGTAGCTGACAGAAATACGATTTATGTGTCTCACATAGTGTGGAGTCTAGAGGTTGGCAGCCCAGAACTCTGCAATGCCATCAGGAACCCTGCCTTTCTGCTTTCTCTTTCTTAGGGGGTTGCTTTTATCCTCACGTTTTTTCTCTTCGTGCCTCCATGAGTCTCATCTGCCATCCAGATAGGAAGAAAGGGAAAAGGCAAAGAGATGAGTCAGCTTATTGTTCCTTTCTGTCAGGGCAGCAGTGTCTCCCTCCAAATGTCCCATCTAGGAGATTTTCTGATTATGTCTCAATGGCCAGAACTCTGTTTGGTGCACATTCATTCTGAACTGGAAGGTGGCTAGGGAACTGGAAGTTGTGGATGGGAGCAGGGGTATGAAGCAACCTGCCAAAAATGTCACAGCTGGAGCCAGTCCATTTCACAGTACAAAATGACATGGACCATGGAGACTTCATCACCTTCACAATGCAACAAAGCATAAGAGAGTATGAGAAGGCAGCAGAGAAAGAGAAGAAAGTTTTAGGATTACAGAAGTATTCAGCAACCAACCAAATAATGAGATCTGAAGGGATGATTTTTTAGTTCTATATTTGATTAAATACTCAACTATATGAGAGCTATGGCTACAAAGCAGTGATTGAAAAAAAACTTGGGGAGATTATCAACAACGTGATGTAGCAGCCAAAA